TCCCCCCTCCCTACCCTAATAAGTACACTAGAACAGCGATATGTGGAAGATAAGTGTGATAAAAAACCGAGGTAATTTCGTGTTATTATGATAGGGTTGTCAATTAAACTTACTACCTATGTAGATAGTAATTTAAAACTTAAATTTTCTTTAGTTTTGATAATTAACTAGCTTTTGTCTGTGACATCGCCTCCGTAGAGTTTCATTTCATGAAATTGTTTTTTTTAAATCCCTTCTCACATTATAAGTATTCTCTAAACACTGTATAATTAAAATACTTTTTAATTAGTTTTGATAATTCGTTAGAAATGTTACCTATTTATTATGAATCACATTAACGTGGTCGATGTTACAAAATTGTAGTATTTACAAAACATAATATTTTGAGAATAAAATATTATGAGAAGGAAGGAAAAAAATAACTTTGTAAATAACAGTTAAAATTTTTCACATTCGCACATGTTCATTTGATTTTTTTGTTTAGGTATGAACCGAAGAGTATGCCGCAAAGAGTTTGCCATCACAATTCACCAGCATTTAAATGTCAGAATATAACTATGGCTCAAAGGCAAAAAAATCATCAGGATTTTTATTCCCATACGAATAAAAAAGACCAAGATGCTATACTCTTAAAATTATGTAAAATAATGTCGGCTAACCGTCCAGTAAAAACATCACAATATAAAGGGAAGAAACAAACTACCATAAAGTATGGAGTGTTTATTAACAAGACGAGAATACCTAAATATCTGTAATAACTTTTTTTTCATATTTGGGATTACCAACTACAGAGTGGCATTTGTCATGAGAAAGTTTTATTACATTGGGGAAGTTGGTACTGAGCATCGTGGAGGATACCGCAAAACAGCAAGGTTCGCTGATCAAAAAAAATCTACACAACTACATTGCAACATTGAAATGTATAGTCTCACTACTATAAGAAAACGAAAACAACTGAACGAAAATGTCTACCGGCTGAATAAAATTTGTCTAAATTATTTCAAATGTACAAAGTAAGTGAACATGTGCACCCTCTAGTGAAGTTGTTGTATTTCCGCCATGTTTTTAACACATCGTATAATATTGGTTTTGGAACATCAAAGACTGATGTGTGCTCCACGTGCTTGGAACTTAAGGAAAAAATTTAAATTGAAATAGACCCAATTAAGAAAAATGTATTGATAATAAAAAAAAACATGTTCATAGTTTGCGAGCGAAAGCATTTTTCGAAAAATTATGCAGTGCACCTGAACATGTGAAAGTAATTTCATTTGACTGTCAAAAAACCCTTCCAAAATTGTTTGACCAGTCAGCATATTACAGTCGTCAACAATATTATTATAATCTTACGATGGTTCAGGGTACTTCAAAGAATCCTTGTTCTTTGACAATTCAAAGAACAAGGTTTTTGCTTAGGTTTTACTGAAAATGAGTACAATAAGGATTCTAATCTTATCGCATCTGCTGTGTATCATAGACTCACCGCAACCGACAAAACCGATATCACACATATTCGGTTGATCGCTGACGGTTGCAGTGGGCAAAACAAAAACTGTATAGTTTTAGGGACTTGTTCCAAATGGCTATTGGAAAACCCTTGTATTCACAATTGAATTAATATTTCCGGTTACTGGCCATTCTTTTACGCATGCGGACCGACAGTTTGGTGTGATTGAAAGAAAACTGAAAAACAAGGAAGTTATTTCAAATCCAAACGAGACAACATAAATTATAAGAAAATCTTCAAGTATCGTGAAATTCAGAAGAAATTATATTGTGAGTGATTGGAGGGACACAGAAAAATGTTGAAACAAACTACGTTATGGTCACTCAAGTTTAAATAATGTAAAAGATTTATATTAAAAGGTAAAAATAGCTGGAAATGTGCTCGTTTGTGGAGCACTAAATTATAAAACTGATTTAGGTAAATTTGAAAACATATGTCAGCGAAATAAAGAAATATCTATGCTAAATCCTGAACCTCTGAAAAACATTGCCGCCGTAAACAAAAATAAGTTACAGGATGTAAAGAAACTTCTCCAAAAACATTTCGGATCTGAGTGGGTAGATTTACATTCTATAATGTTTTATAAAAAAACTCCTCCAATCACAAGAGGAACTAGTGGCTCCACAAAACGAAGAAAGTTTCTGCAACGAATCAACTTGAGAAACTATTGAATTACAATCACAAGAGGAACTAGTGGCTCCACAAAACGAAAGTTTCTACAACGAATCAAGTTGCGAAACTATGGAATTACACGTTTGAATTATGATGTATATTATATTTCCAGATAATAGACAATACAATTGACGCCGGCTCAATAAAACCTTGTTTATTTCAGTTTTGTAGTAAGAGTTTATTATTTTAAGATTTTTTTTTAACTTCATTCAATGTATTTAAGAAGACCATGTGGTTCAACACTTACAAAATGCATCACGTAATAATCATTGATACAGGTGTAACAAAAATGTAAAATAAAATTTAAGGGGCTGATTCTGCTAAGCAGGTACAGCTAATTTGTTTAGGTAGAATTTTTTTCAATTGAATTAAAAATCTGAGTCCGATACTATATGGTTGATTTTTCCAAGTTTTAAGTATAGGGTATTTTTTAAAGGATGAAATAAATTCTACCACATTAAATCTTGCTGTATTTGAGCGACGGAATAAGCCCCTTAAATATCATCTAATCTTTTTTGTTACAGACTGTATACACAACCACGTCACAGTCAAAAATGCATTTTTTATGTGTTTAACCACATACTTTTGAAGATATTGTATTTCTTTGATATTCCATAGTACAGTGGCGGATTTACCAGCACGCTGAGTAGGCTGGAGCCTAGGGCGGCAGACTTTTGGGGCGGCAAATTTGAGGCTAAATTTTTGTTATGTCTTACACAAATTAAAGAGATTTAAATTTTAAAAGGAAAGCTGAAGAAATATTTTCGTCCGTTATTTTTTTTTTATATATACAATATAATAACACAGTGACAGACGAGCACACAGTCCCCCTGATGGTAAGTGGATGCAGTGGCCCATAGACATCTACATTCATCCTCGATTAAAAATCAAATGCAGATGCGTTGTCACCCCTGAGGACTAACATGGAATACTTCGTTTACAGTAAAAAAGGGTCTCCGGATCTCTACACTCACCATACGAAACACAGCAGTATTGAACTGCTATTTTACGCTGGTATTCTGTGATAGCGTGGTTCTTCCCCGGTTAAGCCGACCCATTCATGTTACAACCATAATATAACTGCAGCATGACTCTACCACGTAAAGCCACGCTGCAGCTCTCGGAACTCTAAAATACTTTTTCGTTCCTTGCTCTGCTCACTCTTTTGATTTAGAGGCAACTGCGACTGCTTAATGTTGCACAAAAGCTTGTCGCTTCTTTATGTTGCTGCAAAAAATCAAAATTTTTTTGTAAGTTCAACAAACAACTGTTGATCAGAAGTCTTTAAAACTTTGGAATCAATCAAAGATGGTATAATAATACCGAAAAGCCTGTAACACGAAACAAAGTGACAGAAATACTTTCGAATTCAGAAAAACTGAAAATGGCGGTAAGGTTGTGTGTGTTGTTTTCTCGGTAAGTATTTCAAACAAAGTGCGATGGAATTAGTAAGGGAATTAATTAGAAAGGGAATTGGAAAACTAAGTAAGAGTGATATTTTCAGGGATAACATATTTCTCTTCCTTATTGATAGACTCGTATCCGAATTAGAAAAACGACAGAAGGCCTTCTATAGATTCAATGAAAAGTTTTAGTTTTTGAGCAAAGTTAGTGAATTTTTATCATCAACTCTTGCGGAAAAAGGTCTTTTTCTTGGAAGAAATGGATTCTGATAATTTAGAAACAGGTTTCCCTAAGAATTTTCTGAAAGAATTTTAATGAAAACTAATTCTGGGTCATCGAAAAGTCTATCTTCGTTCGTAAAAGAGAATTTGCAAAACGTTTATCCAAACTTTGATACAGCAATTCGCATGGCTTGTTTACCAGCGACAAATTGTTCGGGTGAGAGAAGCTTTTCTTGCTTAAAACGGATAAAAATTATCTAAGATCTACCATAAGTAAAAAAAAGCTAAACACCGTAGCACTTTTGTACATAGAGTCAGGTAATGAACAAGATTTCATACGACGATGTAATTGATAATTTTGCGAATAAAAAATCGCTACAAAATGGAATTACAAAACTTTCATAAGTAACTAAATTTATTGAATTTATTAATTTATTAAGGACAGCCAACAAATCTTACACCAAAAACATTAAATTCTTAAGCTATTATCTAATATTTAAGCTAAGTGCAGATTCAATTACAGGCTGCCACGACATGCAAATGTGAGTGTTTAATGCTTAATTAAAAAGTAATTTTTATTACTTTTTAAATATTACTTATTACTTATTAAATTTTTATAACAAAAACTAAACAATCCAAAATTATTCCGTACTCAAACTTGCACATAGAATTATTTTTTATAATTTAGAGAGGCTATTTGAAAAAATATCTACGTTCGTTTTTTCTGGAGCTCATTGTATTGTCGTTGCAGCCTGTTCATGATCGCGTAATGGCCGAGATTGCTTTTGGATTCCTTGGTAGCAAATGGTGTGTATTTCCCTTTTCACGAGATTTTATAGGGTGTATTAAGCCGAACCTGTTCCAGCAGTCCAGGGTAATCCAGACCACCTCTTACAATTTTATATAAAGACAAATGATCCAATATAAGCCTCCTATTTTTTAAGCTTTTCATTTTGAATTTTGAGAGTATCAGCGTACTAAGGCAACTGCTCAGCTAGACCGGATTGAAATGACACATGCCATAAAAATCTTTTCTGCACACGTTCTAGTCGCTTAATATACACTTCGTAGTGTGGTGACCAAACCGGGCTACAATACTCCAAAATCGAACGAACGTATGCGTTATATAATAAAAATTTTGTACCTAATTTTAGTTCGTTACAGTTACGAATTACAAATCCTAGCATCATGAAGGCCTAACACGATATGTCTTCAATGTGTTTGTGAAAGCGAAGTTTTTTATCTAAAATAACGCCTAGGTCTCTTAGAGAATCTACCTCTTTAAGTTGTTTTCCATTGACGTGGTACGAAGGTGGTGCTTGCAACCTTTGCCGTGAAAATCTAATAAAATAACATTTATCGACATTTAGCTCCATTCGATTTTGTTCAACCCAGTTTGCCAGATTATCAACATCCTCTTGAATAAGCTCAACATCAGAGGCTGAATGGATTTCTCTACAAAGTTTTAAGTCGTCTGCAAAAAAGATAGACCTTTGAGTACTTTAAAACCGAGACTATATGATTTATAAAGATGTTAAATAGGGTAGGGCCAAGATGAGAGCCTTGGGGTACGCCTGAAAGAACTAAATGTGGATCAGAAGTAAAGCCTTCAACGACTACACTTGCCAAGAAAACCAATTAAGTAATCTATCCCCGAAACCATACTCTGTCAGTTTAGACAGCAGAATACTATGGTCCACTCTGTCAAAAGCCTTGCTGAAGTCGGTGTCAACTTGATTGTTCTTGTCCACAGACCGACTAATATCTGACACGAATTCAGCAAGGTTCGACGCAGTCGAACGACTCCTTACGAACCCAAACTGTCGAGTCGTAATAAAATGTTTAATGTGCCAGGATAAAATAGGACAGAGAAGTGATTCGAATACTTTAGCAATTATTGGTAGCAGAGAAATCGGTCTGTAGTTTTTTATTAGTTTGTCATCACCAGATTTAAATACAGGTACAATAAGGGCTTTCTTCCAAACTGTAGGAAATTCCCCCCGACGCAATGATTCATTAAAGATTAATGAAAGCGGATATGACAAACATTCGGAACAGCGAATTAGAAACACCGGAGGTATCCCATCAGAACCAGCACCCTTTGCGGGATCAAGTTTCTCTAGGGCAAGTTCAATTTGTCGCAGTGAAAATAAAATTTCCCCAATACTGTAAGTACTAGTCACCACTGGAGGGAGAACCACTTGTCTTGTAGCAGTTGAAGGCACACTATAAGCTGACATGAAGCAAGTGACAAACAGTTTAGCTAAATCCTTTCCAGAGTCAGCCGTCTTGCCATCAAAGTGCATTATAGAGGGGAAATTAGGTACTACTATTAGATTTTTTGTGCTTCATGAACGACCAGAACAGTTTGGGATTCTTAGGGAGTGAGTTTTCTATGTCTCAAGTAAATATTTTTTATATGAAAATGAGATTAAAGAGTCACACCTCTTCTTCAAGGATTGCAAGTACAACAGGTCGAGAGGGTTATTGTATTTTTTAAATTTCATTCAGTACTTTTGTTTTTCACGAAGAAGTTGAATTAAACTTTTCGGATACCAAATAGGATATTTCGTGTTTTGCGGTTTACATAATGGAACATGACTAGCTATAACCTCTCAGTATATCATAGAAACGTTTAACTTTGTCTTCTAGATCTAAACATCCTCGAAATTCCTGGTCCCGTGAGGCATCCATAAGTCTCGAAATAATTCCCTCATAGTCCGCCTTGTGGAAATTATGTCGGGGTACGCTACTTTTATCTTTAAGTTTCGTGTCAGATCGCACTGATAAGGAGAACTCTAAAATTGGATGAAATGGGTCTATGACGCTAAGGCTGCATGCGCTGTTTGTAGGTTTAGCAACCTCAAGGCTAGATAATATCAGATCCAGAATTTTATTTTTACAGTTAGGGATGTCATTATACTGTTTTAAGTCATTTAAATTAATAAAATCGATTAACATACTATTAAGAGTGCCCGCAGTACTTGAGTTACATGGTAAGTTATTGTTCCAAACTAAGGAGTTCATATTGAAGACACCTAGAATTATTGTGTTCGTTTGTGCCTCCATATTACGATTAGAGATATTGATAAATTCAGCCAGTATTTGTTTTTGTACCGGAGGAGGTAAATATACTGAACAAGTTTGTATTGTTTCAGTTTTCAACGGCGATTTAAAAATCAGGGCTACCCATACATCCTCGCACAGGCTTTCATATGACGAAAGTCTATGAGGTGATAAGTTTTGCAACGGCAATAAGTACCCCACCGCCCTCATTCCCCCCATGAAATCCACTAGTTTCACGATCCCTTCTATACACATTATAGCGGTTTCCAAACAGTTCACCATCGTACGCTGAACTGTTAAGCCACGTTTCTGTCAAAACAATAACATCATAACTACATACTAACATATTCTTATAAAATTGCAAAGTTTTGCTTCGTAAGCCTCTAATATTTTGATAGTATAATCTTAAACTATTGTACTTTATTTCTTTTACGCCCAATACATTCAATATAACTATATAATATTACTAAGCTAAGTTCCGCAGCATGTCCATGCTGCGCACACATACATATTCAGAGGTATCAGTCTTCCGCATGAAAACTCTACCACCGCGAACCAACACAAATTTCAGTTCCTTGGCGCGCAAACGGGCAGCCGCATGCAGAGCTTTGTTTTCTGGAGAAAGGTTTTCCACCAAGTATACCGCTGGCTTTTTCTCGTCGCTAAGCCCTAGATGACTCGTATTTAATTTATTTCCTGGGTTTTTTTTTTGTTATAGTCCATCGCAGCCGCCAGTAACTTATCACGAAGACGTGGGCTGGCAAGACGAATCAAGATAGTTCGGGGTCTAGATTATTGCTGGTTCATCTTAGCTATGCGAGTGCAGTGGGAGATGTCACTTTCGCCAACTGGGCAGTTAACAGCGCGACCAAGTTGCTGAACGACCTTAATCACATTTTCGTTTTTATGTTCTGGGACACATTGCAATTCCAGATTAGCCGAGCGGGAGATCTGGTCAATTAGGTTGACACGGGAAATAAGACTATTGACCTCTGTACGGAGTTTTGTATTTTCTTCCTTCAACTGTCGAACTTCGGACTTTTGAGTGTTTATGTCGGCTTTCATTTTCTCGAAATGCTCATTGAAAAACGTTAAGGACTCCTTGAAGCTGTTAATGTCCGCGTGAATTAAATTTAACTGTCGGGTTATATTGCTTGTGTATTCCTTTACTGCCGTGTAGTGGCAGTTAAGAATATCCACTACCCCATATCTTCCCGTGGGTGTCGTAAGAGGCGACAGAGGGAGACAGGCAGGAGATGAGCAGCAGCGTCTTCCTGATGACAACTGTGACGTAATAAAAAACTGCGGTTGCCAACCCGCTCGCCAAGCGTGGCAACTATGGCAAATACCCCCCAATGAATAAATACACAAACAGACGACCCCCAGTCCCCGGCGGCCCCGCTATTCCTGGCTACGGTGGCGACCATGGTAACGGCGGGGCAGGGGGTGCTAGGAATCTCCGGTGGAGGTTCGGTTGCCACCTACGACGACTCGACCTGGCAACATATAACGCACGCACCCTGAGGACTGACGAGAAGATACTGGAGCTGGAAGAAGAGGTAGACAAGTTGCGCTGGCATATTATTGGATTATCCGAGGTCCGAAGAGAGGGGGAGGACACGGCAATCCTCGAGTCCGGCAACTTGTTCTATCACCGGGAGGGCGACCATCTGTCCCAAGGAGGTGTCGGATTTATCGTCCACAAATCTCTCGTCAACAACGTTGTAAAGATTGGGAGTGTGTCGACGAGGGTCGCGTACCTGATACTCAGAATCACCAAACGGTATTCGCTGAAGGTCATTCAGGTTTACGCACCAACCTCGGCACATCCCGATGAGGAGGTGGAGGAAATGTATGAGGATATTTCCAGAGCCATACATTCCTCCAAAACCTACTACACGGTGTTGATGGGAGACTTCAACGCAAAACTGGGCACAAGAGAAAGCGGTGAGCTGAAGGTAGGGAAATTTGGAGTAGGGCAACGGAACCGAAGGGGCCAGCAGCTGGCCGACTTTATGGAGAAAGAGGGACTCTTTATGATGAACTCTTTCTTCCAGAAGCGGCCCCACAGGAAGTGGACCTGGTCGAGCCCCGACGGTTCGACAAAAAATGAGATTGACTTCATTATGACGACCAGACGCCAACTGTTCAGTGATGTCTCAGTGATCGCAAGGGTGAAAACTGGCAGCGATCACCGAATGGTTAGAGGCACACTGAACCTAAACGTTAAGTTGGAGAGGTCTCGTCTAATGAAGTCAACGCTCCGTCCCCCTCGTGCTCTAATCCAGAATCCCGAAACCTTTCAGCTCGAGTTACGTAACCGCTTCCAGTGCCTAGAAGATTGCAATGCAGTGGACGATATGAACGACAAGCTCGTGGAAACTGTCCATGCGGTCGGAGCTAAGTTCTGCAAGACCCGCCGCAGAAGAACACAAAAACTCTCCGATCACACTCTTAATCTCATGGCTGTTAGACGGGAGATGAGGCTGCAATCGTCAACAGATTTGACAGCATACAGGCAACTAAACAGACAGATCTCCAAATGCATACGGCGAGACTTACGCAACTTTAATACTTCTCGTATTAAAGAAGCGATCGAGCGGAACCAGGGCTCCAAAGTCTTTGCCAGAGATCTGTCTGCCAGAAAGAGCCAACTGTCAAGGCTGAAGACTGAGTGTGGCAACATCGTTTCCGGGACACCTGAGATTTTGAGTGAGATTGAGAGGTTCTATGGGCAGCTGTACACATCATCGTTGGAGCCACACGCAAGTGTGAGTAACGATCCAAGAGCAAGTCTTATCCGACACTATTCCGATGATATCCCGGACGTCAGTCTAAGCGAGATTAGAATGGCTCTCCAGCACCTTAAAAACGGCAGGGCCCCAGGCGAGGATGGAATTACAGCGGAGCTTCTGAAAGCGGGTGGAACACCGGTACTTGAAGTCCTTCAGAAGCTCTTCGATTCCGTCCTCCATGGTGGCACTACTCCAGAGGCGTGGAGCAGAAGTGCGGTGGTCTTGTTCTTTAAGAAAGGCGACAACGCTCTCTTAAAGAACTACAGACCGATTTCCCTTCTGAGCCGCGTCTACGTGCTGTTTTCGAGAGTCATTACGAATCGTCTCGCACGCAGACTTGACGACTTCCAGCCTCCCGAACAAGCCGGTTTCCGAAAAGGCTTCAGTACCATAGACCACATACATACCCTGCGGCAGATTGTACAGAAGACTGAAGAGTACAATCTGCCACTTTGCCTGGCGTATGTGGACTATGAGAAAGCCTTTGATTCCGTCGAAATTTGGGCGGTGCTACAGTCCCTTCAGCGGTGCCAAGTTGACTGTCGGTATATCGAAGTGCTGAAGTGTTTGTACAGTAGGGCTACGATGGCTATCCGAGTACAGAACCAGAGCT